AAACTGATGTGTTCAGTTCACCGTTCACTAAAAATATTAATAGGTTCATTAATGCCGTCCTGCTAGGGCTGGAACTAATGATCATTTTGCTAATTGCTTAATCTGTCAATTTTGTTTTGATTAATTGATTAAAAATCAGATGTCAAAAGGTTCCTTAAAGAAGACTTTTTACAAAATTACACAATATGAAACTAAAACTTTTTCACTTGAGAAGTTCTAAATAGAGCTTATTGACAGATGAAAAGGTAAATACAAAATATTAATATATATTTTTTATAATTTTTGTACAATTTCTCCTCTATGTGGGTCGCTCTTTCAGCTAAAGGCATGTTTTAGAGTCTCTATACTCCCATTAAGTTAATCAATTACTAAATTAGATGACAATTTTTTCACAATCAGTTTGACTAATTGTTTTAGCCCAAGGTCATGCACAACACTGCCCACAGCAGACGTATATTTTTTGCGGCTAAAACGACAAATCTTACAGAAAATGTGGATCAACTGTAATTGATATCATCCTTACAATATTAAGTTGAAATGTTTATCAATAACATTACAATTACATGATGTTTTTATACCATGTAGCTTTACTGGGCGTGTACAGCAACAGGTTTGGGCAGGGCAGTGTCTCCTTTTTCTATGCGACTTAAAAACTAGTTAAACTCCAGTTAGCATTGCTCTTTTTGTGGTGCCTCATTAAAAGGACGTCATACCATAGGAATCGTATTTCTTTAACAAATGAGACTGGAGTGCTGATAGGAAAGTGTTGGGAAGGCTAAAAAGCAGCAGAGTCTGACCCCTGGCTTTGCCCTCTGTGAATATTTCAGGAGCAGAGCTCATTTTTGATATGTGAATCTGTCAGCTGAGGAGACAGCTTTAGACATTTGAATCTTTAAACAGAGGAAGCTGTCTGACTGCGTTTCAGCTGGCGTTAGCAAAGAGCAAAGCACTAGGAAGCTGGGATCTCCACAGCCAAAAAGATGAGGAAGACAAAGGAGATGGCAGCCTTGTTGCTCCGCTGTGGCTCTAATAATATAAAGTTCCTGGAGGGTTTTTAATCTGAGGAGTCTGAGCACTGCTGACAGAGTGCTGCCATCAGCCAAACTGACGCCTCTCGAACTGACAGAACAAAGTCAAGATTTACTCCTTGTTATTATAAGCATGTAATCCTTGAAAACAAGGAAGTTTTTTTCCACAATGAAGCTCTAGCTAACTGGGTTATACCAAACATCTTTGATAAAGTTCAGAGGAATTTTCGGAAAACCTATGCGGCATGTCTACAGATGTTCGACTTCGCCTGCAGTTTTGTCTCTTTGCCTCAGATTGCCAGGAATACCATGTGTGGTCTTATCTGGGGCCTGATGGAATTAGGTTACTGAGCATATGCTACAGATTTCCATGGCAACAAGAATAGGGAAATCTGGAATCAAGTCAGATAAAGTGCCAACAGGCAGTTTTTGTTGTTTTTTTTTTCCCAAGCATAGAGCATAACTGCTCTGTTTTTCAAAGGAAACCACAGCGGGTAAACTGCTGGTTGCCAAATTTATTCTGGAGACGATGCAGGGGGGGAGCTTTCCTGACGCAGACCTGTCTTCATCAGACATACCGAAATTATTTAGACATAAACACTGCTGGTGAACACACTTTTGACCCAAAGTGGACTGGTTTTAATCCAATTAAAGAAAGGACAGCCGGTGGATGGGTTGGTAATAAAAGCCATAATTCGTCACAATGGGACAGTGAAGACACCAGGAGCGACTCCTTAGAGCCTCAAGCGCCTCAGATACACAAGCAACGGAAGACGCTAGCCGGGAGTTGCTGAAATAAAGTCAATCACGGCAGCATTGTTCACCGTGCAATACACACAGCTACACTGAGGAGCCTTTAATTAAAAGACAGCCAAGACTGAAAAAGCCAAAGCAAAGAAATACTGCAGCTCTCGCCACAACAGGTCTGTGCTATAAACACAACTTTCCCCTGGAGTAAACACACAAATACTTCCCAAAAAAAATGAAAACACCCCAGGGATGAGAGTGCTGAAGCAGTCTCCAGAGTTTAAAAAAAAACAAAACAAAAAAACAAAACAGAAGGGGAAAAAAAAAAACCTAAAGAAAAATGTTTTATGGGGCAATTTATTAGACAAGATAGTGGATGGGAACAGCTGAAAATAAACCGGGCCGTAGTGTTCTGTTGTTTCTACATTTCATGCTCTGTCACAGCTCAGCAAAGCTTGCCTAACGTCGTTAGGCTCATGCAGCAGTGTGTATACGTCCATAAGAACCTTATCAAACCTGTGTGTGAGAGAGGCTGAGTAGAGCCAGAGGAGAAAGCATGTCCCGAGTGCGACTACATGGTCTTACAACATCTAATACAGTAAACCATGGATTTGTTGGTGTCCCTCTGAGCCCTGCTTGCTGAGGTCATCAGGTCATGTGACAGTGGTTATGTGGTCGTTTCTTTAGGGTTAAGGGTCGTTATAGGGTCGTTTCTTTAGGGCTACTAGCTGCCTTTTTCCAGGCAGCTAGTAGCAACAAGCGGGGGGAGGGCAGAGCTACACTACTCCATTATTCTCCCAAGGATTCTTAATGGATATGTATATGTTGAGATGCTCGGCCGATTCAGAGATGATGATTGGTGAAAATAGAATCTGGCAAACACAAAAAATGTGATTAAATTTAGTAAAACTTGTCAGACAACAGGAGCCGCAGAAAGATTTCATATAGAAATTGAGCTGTGGTTAATGGATCAGTGTTTAAAAATTGAGCCAAATAAAACAAAGCCTGTCTCTACTTTTAAAGATCTTCCAGGCCAGGAAAGCCTTTACTGTTAAATGTAGAGCAACAGCGAGGCAAGCATTGACAGCAGGCATCAGGAAAGATGAAAGCCCAACTGGAGACGGATGCTGAATAAATAATGGCATCCATTGTGGGGAAATGTGATCGGGCTTTCTGAAAATCAATAACTAACAACCAGACCATGATGCCCTGAGTGACTCAGCAACAACTTCAATATACTTCAAGCAGTCGATACCAACTGCCTGTTTTAATTCTGGGAGACATGACCAAAAAAAAAAAAAAAAACAGCTCCAAAAACATAAAAATGAAAAAAAATAAGACATGTTAAAGGAAACCTCTGTAGGGTGGTTGAGAAGATAACATATTGGTAAAACAATCTGTGTGACCTGCTGGTGGTAAGCAGCATATTCCCAGTTTTCACGGTTGACTGGTATTCAACGAGTGAATGGAGCAAAAGATTACTTCGGAGCGGTATTTATTGCTAAGAAAAAAAAAATCTTCTAATGGGGTGAAACAATTGTATTGGTCCAGATTTCCAATAAATAGCTTGGTCACTTAAGAGAATGTTACTCATTTGCGCTTCAAAAATGTCTGCAAGTCAAAAACAAAATATATATCTCAAACCACTGCTTACACTATATTCAATGTTTAAGTGAGTAGGATTCTGAATAAACGTGCATTTCACCTCTTGATTGTGATGTAAGATGTTAAGAGATCAATTTACTATTACTTAGCAGTAGTAGTTGTTAAAATGGGCAACATTGCTCACCTCCCAGGGTAGTATTGTGTTAGGGGGCCTGGAGAAAATGTTTTTGACCTCATGAATAAAAGAAAATACTGCAATGCACATTGGCTGGCCAATGACCTTAAATTTTAATGTCAGGATTTATAAACATTGCTGAATTAAGTGCAGTATTTGTAAAACTAACCACCTGAGGCAATCACTGCAGAAACTCCTTCCCAGTCCATATTTGGTAGCTCTCTATCAGCTGCGCTTATTAAAAGGCTAACCATGGTTGCAGAAGAACTTAAAGGTCCCGTTATATTGTATGTTTGAAAATAAAAAAAAGGTTTTTTCATTCATGCAGGATAATTCTTATCAGACTAAGCAGACAGACTTAACCAAACCCCTTCTTATTCAGGCCTCCTATAGACGACCTTGCAATGCAATAAAAGGGTTAAATAGGCCATTTATAACAAATGAATAATCTCTATTCTGATCAATTCCTTCTTAATGCTGAGTATTGTAGTCCTGCAGAAGGTGAAGTCTACCTCAGTCTTTGTCAGACTAAAATGTTTTATTTTATTTGAGCTTTCTAAAGGAATCTGATTTACATTCAAGCCCTTTTAAAATTTTCAGCTTAAGATGTTCTCTATTACATGGTTTCAGATTTATGAACCCTTTATCATTGTTGTCAAAAGATAAAAAAAAACACATCTCAATGTTTCTCACTATCAAGACAACCTTAGATTAAGATCAGTAAGGAAACCTACAACCGGACATAATTATTTTACATCGCCTACAGATTATTTAAACTATAGACGCTGCCTATGAACCCAGCGTAAAAAGGATGAGCTTTAAAGAAACCTTCATGAATAAACCACCATGATTATATTTAAACGATAAACTCAAAGCAGAGTAGAATGTTAGATGATAGGTCTTAAAGTAAACTCATATTCAAATTATTCCTGGTTTCCTGCTGGTTTTATTTTGTTTATTTTGAGCAAACAGGGGTTAGATCAATCTATCTGTATAGGCAATCTACTAAAAACCTCCAAAATTGTAGCAAATATTATCCAGCTGAGCTAAAGAACGAAGTGGAATTTTGCTTCCGTTAATCCGGCTTAGCCAGATTTTGGATGCATGATGGCCAAACATCAAAACGAAGGCTTTGATTAGATAAGCACCGATGAACCTGTGGGTGGGATCCACAGCAAGCGGAATCATTGAAGCATGTCTATAAAAAAAGAAAGAAAACTATAACATTTATTTATTTATTTATTTCTTTAAAAGGGCGATGAAGACCAAGTTTCACTTTGCACCACGATGTGTGGTAGAAATCCACTGAACGTAGCTCAAGAAAGACTTTAAAAGGTCTTTGTAATTTTATGTTCTCACCTTTAAATCTGAGCAAACTTTTTACTTCAACCAGACCTGGTTGGTGCCAAATGCACTCATAGTACTGGTTGAGCGCTGGTTCTTACCTGCGCGCTCTGTGCGGCAGAGGGTGTTGGTGCTGCCTGGTGATGAAGCTGGTGCCCCACAATGGACTGCTGTGGCTGTTTCGTAGCCAGCCCACAGGGGGAGTTGATGGGTAGGAGGTAGTCCCAAATCCATGGTCCGACTCAGTCTCCGCAGCCAGAGATGAGGCTGAGCTCCCCATTGCCACAAATATAGACGAAATAGAGTCTGCTTTCTTTCCGAAACGTGAATCTGTCTGCTTATATTTTCCCCGCAACGCAGAAGCTGGCAACGGATCCAGTGCTGAAGCAGGCGAAGCACTGAGTTTCTCAAAAATAATACAGAAATCCTCTGCAGCTCAGGTAGAAACAAGTCTGCTTAAAAGGTGTAGGGGATTCGGTAAGCTCCAACACTGACTACATTTCTCAGAATTTATGCAAAAAAAAAAAGCAATTCTACTGATTCAGGAGGTTTAAGTGTAGTTTTTCTGATGCAAAGTCCTGCAATCCTCCCCTTGCATCCGTTCTGCTTGGGACAATCGGCAGCAAGTGTTGGATGTAGCATATGATAAGTCCTTGTAGGCTCTCCCTGTCTTCTCTATCATGCATGTTTAGGGGATCAGCTTTAAAAGCCATAAAGATTTAGAAACATAAATCTGCTTGCAAAGATTTAACAACACAGCAGCACAAACATTCATCCTGCAGATCAATTAAAAATGGCTGAAAGTAAGATATGGAAGTAGCAGTCCTTTACCAGAGGGAAACTAAACGCATTGGATTTTAAGGGAGAGGTTTTGGCAAAACTACAAGTATGTAAATACTGGAGTCTCCCCTTTCACTCATCCAGGCTGAGGAACAGCTGCTGTTGAGATTTAACAGCAACACATCAGCTGCATTTCTCTGAAGGATAAAAACTCCATGCATTAAATCTTATTTTAAAATGTTCTTGTATTTACAGGATTGCAGCTTTATGAAGGGAGTTTTAAAAAAAGTTATTTTAACTGCAAGAGCAGCTCTACAATGAGTCCTCCAATAAATGAGAGCGGGTGCTGGGTGTCACGCTGCGGTCCTCTGGCAGCTCAAACAGCGGGGAGATGATTCTGCTTTCCCGCTGAGAGCCGCAGCTCAGTATCGCTCTGATCCCACAGACACCGGCGGCCCGGCCGGTCCGCTTCCTGACGGCTCTCTGATGTCAACCTGCTCGCCGGTCATTGTGTCTCAACGCCTAAACAGCTAAAACCCAAACAGCCAAACTTCAAAGGTTAAGCAGGGAAAGGACAATGGCTTCATCATTAATTAGGTGATCCTGACAGCTGCGCACCGGTAACACAGGCTTTCCCTGCCTGATAAATAATCCCAGATAAAGCAGCTCTTATAGCCAGTGCTAATGTTGCTCTTCTCCACCTACCAGCGTTGTAGAAATCCCCCCCAAAGCAACCCCAACTCTTATATTTTACCGGCTTCACCCGCGTCTGCGTTCATGTCTTATTACCGAGCCGTGCCCTGCTTCATGTTCGGCTGCATCCTCGCGCTCCTGACCCGCTGTTGCTTTGCTCAAAACATCCCATAATACCGTCCGAACATCCAGCAGCTTAGCATCCCGTGGTCCGACCATACATTTCCCCCCATCGTTTTAATTCTCCCTCACTGGTAGCAGTCTGAGCGCAGTGGACCAGGATGCGATCTCCTCCAGCGGATTAGCGGAGTGTCAGCACGGCGCATGCGCACTGGCCTTTACCAGCAGAGAAAAGCTGCGGGGCTGCGTTCAAGAGATTTAAATAAAAGCTCAACGCCGAGGGCTGCAGAAGGATGACTCTCCTCTCCTTAAGGTGAATGGGACCCCAGTTTATAGACAAATTGTGCTCAATGGAGAATGCCACTTCCCAGGCGGTCCAGGACTGGATAGAGATCTGAGCTGAAACTAATGAGGGGAACCCATTTAGCTGGAGCCCATTAGCACCAATAACCCCTTCAATTATAGTTGTTTATCCATTTATCTATCTAATGTCATGCTGTAGAAACGAGGCAGCAAATTAGACTATGTTTTTTTTAATTTACACTAAAAAATTGTCATAAGAAAAACACCATTGTTTATTGTCAAAGGTGTCAAGTAACGTCTCTTTGCAGATGTAATGGTGTGAAAAATTCCTATTTTACACACCTGATGCTAGTGAGTCTGACCGAACTATATTTATACTGCAACACATGCAAGATTTCAGCATGATGGTGAGCCATTTAAACGCGACACCAATAGCAAAGCAGACAGTGGTACTTTTAATTACTATGTTAATAACTGTGTATAGGTCATTGGACTCATAATGTTTCAAACCGCAATAAAGATCTTAAAGGAATAGTACACCCAAAACATGATTAGCCTTCATTTCTACTCACCCCCATGCTGAACAACACTCTGGAGTACTTTTTTGATATCTCAAATGCATCTGGAGATCTGGGAGGCTTCTTGCTGTCTGCTGACATTCAAATAATGGAGGTGCCCAGCGCCCGAGGCAGAAAGGTCCATAAAAGTCCACAAAAAACGTTTCAATATTCCTCCATACTGCTCGTCCAATGTATTCCAAGTTTCCTGAGTGGGTAGCATCCAGAATTTACTCGAAACGAAGTCATTTAGAATGTTTTGAAAGCATAAACAGTAGTGTATAGGATTTCCTGAAAGCGCGCACATGCGCGATCACGGCGCTACGGAAGCCGGCAAACCAAACCAGCGCATTCAGCTCGGCAAAGAACTCATGCTCTTCCTCAACACTGAAGTCCTCAGACATTTTTCTTTCGTTGTTTCTTTCTTTGCACAGGTAAACGGCACATTTCTTCTTCTACGCTTGCATTATTGGAAGAGCAGACGCTGAATGCGCACTTTCATCTGGTTTGGTCTGCCGGCTTCCGTAGCGTCGTGAGCGCGCATGTGCACGCTTTCAGGAAATCCTATACACTACTGTTTATGCTCTAAAAAACATTCTAAATGACTTCGTTTCGAGTAAATTCTGGATTCTACCCACTCAGGACACTTGGAATACATTGGACGACCAGTATGGAGGAATATTGACACGTTTTTTGTGGACTTTTATGGACCTTTCTGCCTCGGGCGCTGGGCACCTCCATTATTTGAATGTCAGCAGACAGCAAGAAGCCTCCCAGATCTCCAGATGCATTTGAGATATCAAAAAAGTACTCCAGGGTGTTGTTCAGCATGGGGGTGAGTAGAAAATGAAGGCTAATCATGTTTTGGGTGTACTATTCCTTTAAAAGAACGATGTATTTGAGTATTTTATTTTTTCCCCTACCATTTGGGCATATGGGTAACCCAGAGCAGAGATAAAAACCATAAACGCCATGTACAATGTGTTAGCGACGATGGATGTTTTTCAGCCAAAGTTTCCTCCTTTTTCTGGTTTTTGATTTCGGGCCAAGATTTAATTCATTTCTGTGCATTCCTAAAAAAAAAAAAAAACAATCACTTCAACGCTTTTAACAAGTTCAACTGAAAATAAGTTTGAACTTTAAATATGACAGGGGGGATCATTTTGTAAACTTGAAACTAAGTTTTCAAAACCTCAGTCGATAACCTCAGTCTAAACTTTTAACATGGACTTAATAACATCTGGGTTTGTTGTACTGGAAAATGGCCTGACACAATAGGTTACACAAACTACAACACTGTGTCCAGCCTAAACTGATACTGGGGGGGGCTGTACAGAGAAGGGTTAAACGAAGGACAGTGGAGACACTCATCATTGCTCAACTGTCACTGCGCATTACTTAGGGAAGCCATCAAACTTTTCCTATCCTCTGCTCTCTTCCACTCCAAGTATCTTCCTTGGCCTCATTTTTCAACAGGGTTCAGCAGCAAATTAAGCACATAATGCAAAGCCATATTCATATCACAAGAGCTCATTAAATCACATGCTTGTCTATATATCTTTCTTAGCCTGTAAGGCAGTGAGTAACCAACGCTGCTCATGCCTTCTTATTTGCCAAGACTATTGTGTAAACAGGTATACCCGTACCATTTAAACCAAGAGCCAGTCCGCTGTACAAAGACCCAAACTGGTTTGTCTGGTATAAACTTCTGTTGAAAATTCTGCAGAGCAAGCATGCTAATGGGTATCTCTAACAAGATCAAATACAAAAGCTGCAACGCTACGCATAACTCTTCTTTTAATAAATGCAAGTTACACAACAGTATCTGGGTGTGTCTGTTTAGGGGAAATTCTCAAACACATTCACAATCAGCAAAAGTAAGGAGGAAAAAAAAAAAAAAAGTATTTCACTACTGGGTGAACTCCTACGGTTTATGGGCCATAAATATGGAGAGAGGCTTAAGGAAAGTAAGGAGACTGCAGCTCTTTGTTACTGGGATGCACCTGTCTGAAGACCACCTGTCCCCCTGCAAGTGTCAGAGATGCAGAAGCTGACACGGTCGGTGCCACGGGGAGCGGTTGGATTTCATTTTAATTCTCAAGAGGACACACTGGGGAAAAGAACGGGGACGTGAGGATGTGAGCTAGTTTCATGGTACATTGCAGATTTTTTTTTTCACCCCAATATCCTGAATGACCTCAGCCTTTTTTTCCCCACCCATCTGTCCCAGCAGGCATCCACGCTAGAAACACACAAAACAATGTATCCGCTCCATATTTGATCCTCTTGGAAGTAATAAAGTTTAATTATTCGTATTTCCTGTAATAATACTTCAACTGGATCATGTGCTTTTAGTTTTCCATTGAAAAAGTTAGTTATTGTACCAAGCTGAGTTAAAACAAACCAACTAACAAACGAACCAGCACACACATGCTTTCACAGATTTTACACACAATAAAAATGCTAAGCAAATATCAAATTTAAGGACCAAAACGTGCCAGGGAGCCACTCCAACTTTACTATGCAGACCACAGAAAAGAAGATCAGGTTTTTCTCAGTTGATCACTTTCTTCCCCTATATTTCCCCACTATAACAGAGAAAAAAAAGTCTCAGATCCAACAGAAAATTAAGAAACTATTGGATAATATCTGTTGCGCAAAATCAGAATAGTGATTTGATTAGGGCTGAAACAATAATCAGATTAATCGTGATGAATTGATTATTGAAATAATCGTCAACTAATTTAGTTATTGATTATTAGTCAACTGGAGTGTAGAGACTTTAAAACACGCCTTTAGCTGACAGAACCACCCACCTTGAGCAGCA